TGGTTGTGAACAGTTCTGTTGTTGGTCTTAATATTGGAACTTCCCTTTTGAAAACTCCACTTGTGCTTAGGCTAGGTCCAAACCAAACAAGACCTGTGATTATTTAAAGAAGCTACTTTGACTCCACCGTCCATTCATCCTTTTCAGATGCAAAAATAACACATTGTTTTATCTATGAGTATAGGAATCCTTTTTCAAAGGAAATAAAAAGAGCAGACAGTTTCCTTCCTGGCTAATTCCTGAACCTCTTTCAATCTGTTAAACATAGCCACAGACACAACTTGTATGCCTGGTTTCATTTCCTAAACTCAATTTGACAAGATAGGTCAGTCTGAAGGGTCCATGTGCATCTACCAGGAAATCAAGTCTAAATCTAGGTAATGTTTTACAGTCACCAGGGTGATATGAGTAATGATTTAGAGTAAGAATCCAATTTCATTTGTAAAATTACTGAGCAGATAATTATAGTCAACTGTTTTGAAACCACATCCCATGATGAACCTAAATTTTTTCAAMGAGCCTAAAGTACTTCTATTCAAGGTGCTGCACCTGACTCATACATTCAGGATTTCCTAAGATCCACGTCGTATCAACTTCCAAAAATTCTTCCTGTTCCAAACTATATCCTTATATGGATCTGAAACCTGTGTCCTGGAAACTTTACTACCATTTCCTTTCCTTGGTTCTAGTTATTTTTCTTGATGTGTCAAATAATGAGTTAAATGCCTGTGTCAGAAAGCTCTGTAAGTATTTGAAGAAAACAGACATGTTGTTCCCATATTATCTCTGTTCTAGGTTAAATATCCTAAAAAAATGTTTTTTTGCATTATTCAGAAATTATCTTATTCATATAAATGGCTCCATTTATTTATGTTTCCTTTATAAATGAACCTAAGTGTTTTCATGATTGCAGATCAGGTGATCTGTTTTCTCAGCTAACCATAATTTTTAAGCAAAGAGGTTGGATATAGATATTGTTCTGAAAGCAGGGGAAAACATTACAAACAAGAGCTCAGAGGATAAGGCCACATTCTGTGCCACATAACAGAGAAGAGGTTGGGAGACAGAAGTATCAGTTTCATACAAAATGCAATGGACTAGCCAGTAGGGACTAGCTAGGATTATTTAGGCTTTGTTATTGTCAAGAGGGATATCCAAAGTTGTTGCATAACTTGCTGTCATCTCAATTTCAATCTCTTCTACCTTACCATTCTAGAGGACACAGTATTAAGTCATACTTCATATCTTAGTCTCTATGAAAGCCTTTAGCCCTTCCTAGTGGCATTGTGTAGTATGTTTTTATACCATATGGTGTTTCTTCTTTGTTCTTGGGAGAGCTCAAAATGTTTGTTGACATGGTTCATGTGCACCTTGACCTTACTTTAACTGGGTTTTCAGAGTACACCAAGGTTAGGGAGGCTCACACTTTTATATTCTGCATAGTTCTGAGCAGATAAGTAAGTTGTTGAGTTAACAGATTATTGAATGTGGCTTCTCTCTTTGCCCTAAACCAGTATGTTGATGTATTTCCTTTTTCTGACATAAAATAGTGGTTTTCTAAATAGAGTAAATCCAACAAATGTTTATTGAGTACTCTAGAATGAAAAAACATGAATAATAAATAGTGGCAAGCTTTGCCTTCAAGGAACCTATCAAGTGCTATGGGAGCACAGAGGGAAAAAATGATGGTGAAGTAGGAGGTCAATTGAGAATATACCAGAGCAAGTGTGGATCTCTAAGAATGAGTAGTGGGATTGTCCAGGGGCAGAACAATTGGGAAGGTCGTTCAGACGACAGGAAAAAGATGGGGAAAGGCAGAGAGGCCATGAGGAGTATGAGTGTGTTTAGGGACTCCCAGGTGTTTAGGGCGTGTTGGAGGTGGGTGGGGAAGAGTGAGAGATCAGGCTGGAGAAGGAGCCAAGAGAGGGCTGTGTGTGCCTGGAGGAGGGCATTGGGCAGTTGGGAGCCACTGTGAGATACCAGGCTTGAAGGTAGCTTGTTGAAAAGGACCACTCTGTATTGGGGGCTGGACTGTTGGAGGTTGAGAGAAGTAGGAAGGTGGATTGGGAGGTGAGAGATGAAGTCAAGAGATGATAGGGGTCAGAACATCTATAATGGCAGCCAACATGTTCAGTTTCAGTGAAAACTCTCTCTGCTTTCCTCAAGAGGCTTCTACAGTCTTTTAGAAATTCTCAGTGATGTAGTATTCTTTGTTGTCTGACTTTTCAGAAAAGCATAATGTTAGAGGAGAAAGGAATCAGTGTAAGGAATTAAGAAGCACTTAGAGAAGAAACCAAAACAACAGAATAACTGAAAGATGGCAAATCTCAATTTTATAAGACCTTGCTGACAACTTCCTTCTCAGAATAAGAAGAGTGGGGAAAGGTAGAAACATCCTGAGGTTAATACCAACATGGACTTAAGTTTCAGCCTCACCATATATTTGTGATTTTGGGCAGTTTGCCTTCTGTGAGTCTCCATCTTCCCATCTGTAGGTTGAGAATAACACTGTGTACTTCTTTGGATTTTGTAAGATTTAATAGGGTTAAGTACTGCCATCCCGGTATCCAAAACAGTCCCCCCCGCCAGCTTCTCAAATTCCTTAAATGAAATGGTGTAGTATTTACATAGAACCTACACACATTCTCCTGTATACTTTAAATCATCACTAGATGACTTATAATGCCTAATACAATATAAATGCTCTGTATAATAGTTGTTATACTATATTGTTTATGGAATAATGTCAAGAAAAAATGTTCATGTTCAGGACAGATGCAGGGTTTTGTTGTTGTTGTTGTTCTGAATATTTTTTTATACCAGTTGGTTGAATCTGGGAATTCATGGCCTGTGAATYTGGAGGGCTCACTGTATTGTTTGTTGTCTGGCACAATACCTGCACACACAGATATTAAATAAATATGGTTCCTGCTGAAAACTGGGCATGGGTATGGAATACAAGGAAATATCAGACAGTTCCTGCCTTTATAAGCTTACAATTCAGTAGGAAGAGAAGCATTGATCAAGGCTGAAATAATARTCAAATATAAATAAGTACTGTGAATGCCTAGAACCATGATGTGGGAGAGCAGAGAAGAGAATGAGGATGTGACTCTGCTATTCATCCTGAAGGATAGGTAGAAAGTATTGAAAGTGGCCTTGGAGGATAAGAAGAATTTGGCTGGAATTGGAATGGAGCCTGGACAGAAGACATTCTAGGCTGTGTGATGAACATGAAGAACAAAGGCCACACTTGGCATCTATGGTGAAGCAGGCTCACTGTGGCCACAGTGCTGGCTCTAATCCAGTCTGGGGGTCTCCTTAGTGGCACTGATGTGCCCTTGAACAATGAAAGAATAACCTTATGGCAAAAGGAGGAGTAGTGGTCTTGCTTGGTGGGTAGATCTAATAAAGCACAGTTTTAAGTGAAGTGGTTTCTGAAAACCAGATCAGCAGAAAAGGGGAAGCCTATTAACTTGCATAAACAACTCTGCTTCATGCCAGAGCTTCTCCCAAGTCATTAGCTGTCCAGTCATTGCTGACCCTTTTTCCCTGGAAGAGAAGCTGGGAAGACAGAAATAGCAAGGCAGGGTTGCCATGTGGTGGGTTAAATCCAGTCCAAGAAAAAAGCCTAGTTCCATTTCAGGTCTGGGATTGCCTGACTGTGATTTAGGTTAGTCATTTCCTATCCCTTTGGAGGTTGATAGTAACTGTTCTGTGTATCTGATGGGGTTCTTGTGAAGACATGGGGAAAAATAGCATTTGATCTGATAATAGGGGGCCTTCCTGCTCTCTGCTCTCTATGGCCTGAGGTAACCACTCCTAAGGTCACATTGGAAGTCCTTCTTAAAAGATAGGAGCAACCATTTGAAAAAGGAAGTGTTCAAGCGAGATGCACTTTTCCTCTATGTGTGAGCAGAACAGTTGAAAAGAATGTTTTGAATCATTTGGGAGGCAAGCAGGGATATTATTGAAAGTCTTTGGGGGAATGCTACCYTCTCACTTTTCCTGAAAATATAAATTTGTGGTACTTCAGTTTCAGGAGACTCTAAAACATCTCCTAGAAAAGAATGGAAAGTGTGAATTCTCAGAGTTATGTTCGCTAAGCATTGTTACATTTCCAGGGTAAACGAACTGAAATTCATTGCTTTCTTCTTAATCCTTCTTCCAGAAGTGCTTGCATATTCTGAAGTACAATAGTGAGCATTTGGAAACAGGCTTCTGAGCAAGTTCCATCTTTTCATATCAGACCTCAAAATGCCATTGATATTTACATCTGAGAGGTACCAATTTGATATTTTATGATGCTGTAAATTTTATGTTTTTGGATGATTCTTAGCATTGGAGAATTGAAACTGAGGTCTAAGTTGTTTTCTAAATGGAAGCCAGATRGCCAAAGCAAAGGCAAAATTTGGCCTTTTTGTGTTTTGCCACTCAACAAACTTTCTGAGGCCCAGAAAAAGGAAGCACTGGAATATTTTTCTTAAATGTGGTCTGTTTATTATGTGTTGCTTCTCCCTGATAATATTTTGTGCCTATTCATGTTAAAAACCAGCTTAGGAAAACATTGGGGCAAGAAGCACATATCTAATTTCTGGGAATCTGAAAAGGAAAAAAAAAAGAGCAATTTGAAGAGTGTGGGTTCCTTTTTCCCTCCCTCCCTTCTTGGATTCTTTCTCACAGGTATGGGCCACTCAGGCCATTCACTGTGGGTCATTGTAACCATGCTGTCAGCAGTGGGAATTCTTTTCTTCCAGGAACTACTTCCCCTGCTGGGATGGTTCAGATTGTATGTGCTTAGCCTGGCCATCTTGGGCTTTGCCTTGTGCCTCACCAGACAGAAACAGACAGTACCTTCCCGGAGGGGCAGGAGGCAGGAGAAGGAGACCAGGGAAGGGACAGATTGCGCCAGGCAGCAGGGGACTGGGAGGTGGGAAGTTAAACAAACAGGGAAATAGGTATCTGAACAGTGTCTTGTTGCTTTCCTATGCACTGTTTACCTTGCACGGTGAGGTATGCTGAGCTTTCTGTGGCACCCTTCTGGTTGGTGGCTTTGCACTGATAGACACCTTCATCCTCCTCTGTGACTCTTTCAATAAACAGTGTGCTGTTTCCCGGTCCTAAAATAATTCCTGAGGAGTGAGAGATGTTTAGATTAGTGGACCTGAATGACAAACAAAACAACTTCTTCAACTCAAGTGTCTTCCTATCCATCTGAGTTTGGAGGAGGAAATCTGAGCTCTGATTAACCATGGGCAGCCCTGCTTATTTGTTCTCCGGCTGTCCAGGCTTTCTGCTAGCACTTTCCTCACCAAGGAAAGTTGTGATCCCAGCTATGGAGATGTGGCTGTCCCATGGGGTAGGTAGAAGTGAGGGGGAGCTGCCATTCCCTACTTTAAAGATGTAGGTATCAAAAATAGCATATTTAATACTAACAACTACATTCACTCCCAGCATGGGGCTTTTTGTAAGCCCCATGCAATTCAACATACCTTGACATTCATAACACCCTGCAAAGTGGTATTGTATTTTTCACACATGATGAAACTGAGATTCCCTAAGGTCAAATAACTTGTCCAATATCATGCATTTAATTGAAAGCACATTTGTGGCCTATGGGTCAAAGGAAATCATGTTTCATTTGTCATGTAGCCTGGTGAGGTTGCATAGCATAGTGGCAAAGAGTTCTGGCTGGGTTTGAATCCATGCCTTACCACTATAGCCTTTTTCACTTCAGGCAAGTTACTTAACCTTCCTAAAGTTTCAGTTTCCTCAACMTTAAGGTAAAAATGAAAGCAGTTTCTTCTTAATAAATGTAAAAATGAATGGCACAACATGGCATATGGTAAAAGCAAGTATTAAGTACCACAGAGCACGGTGTGATGGAAGGAATACTAGGAATGCATAGGCACGTGAAAGGCTTCAAGACACAGAAAATATACAGAAAGTATTTAATGAATGAGTATGAGTAAATGTAGCACAACATATACAATCAAGTGCAAGGGCTGAGAAAGGGAGGGAGATCAACAAGAATGGAAGTAATCAGGAAAGGCTGCATGGAGGAGGTGGCCCTTGGGCCGAGGTGAAGGAAGAAAAGAAGGCCTGAGAAAAGGCATGATGTTGAAATGAATATGTACTGAGGGCTTGTTCTTGATTAGTAATAAAATGGGTTTGACCAGAGTATAGGCTATATTTTGTTAACTAGTTTCTGTTTGATTACAAAAGATAGACTCAAAGTATAAATTTTGAGAAATGTTTAAAAGCATAAAAACGTAAAAGAAAATTAAAAAGTAAAAAGATCAAGTGGCTATAATTTTACCTCCTCTCAGATGTTGTTCCTTTAGTATTTTTAAGTGCACTTCTTTAGTTCATTCTTAAAACAAATATTTTTGAGCTCCTACTATGAACTAGACCTATAATAAACAGGCAAATAAAAATTCTTGCCTACAAAGGGTTTAAATTCTAGTTTTGGAGAATTACAAATAAATAATGTAATTTCAGGTAGCAACAAAGTATATGAAGAAAATAAACCAAATAAAGAGGATCATGGGTTAAGAAGGGTGAGGAGGCTATTTCATTTTATTTATTTATTTTTAGTTATGGGGATGGAACCCAGGATATCATGCATGCTAAACACATACTCTACCACTGAGTTCCAACCTGAGCCGCAGGGAAGGCTATTTTATATTGGGTGTTCAGAGAAGACTCTCGAAGAAGGTGATGTTTGAATAGAGACCTGCAAGATAGGAAGGAACGAGCCATCTGAAAAGTTGGAAAATGTTTTTTTAGGCACAGGGAGCAGCAAATTTATAGTCCCTGAGGCAGGATAGAGTTTGTTTGTGAAATGTGAAAAAGACCACTGTAGCTAGCACAAAGTAAGGCAGCAGAAGAGATGAAAAACTAGGATGGGGGATGTAGCTCACATGCGGTTCACTTGCCTAGCATGTGCAAGGCCTGGTTTCCACCTCTGAAGAGGGGRAAAAATAAAGAAGAGATGAAAACAAGAACTAGGCAGAGCCCAGATCCTTCATGACCCTGTAGGCCATGGTAAAGACTTAAGATTTCATTCTAAGTGCAGTGAAAAGCCACTGGAAGCATGTAAGTCTGTATGGGGATGAGATGGAAAATATGATGGCTATTGAATTTGTCCAGTAAAAGACATGATAGATGAGTGGCATTAATTACATGTATGTATAATTTTCATAATTTTAAATAACAGTACAATTAACGTCCTTAGGCATAAGGTTTTTGTTGTTGCCATTTCTAATTATTTCCTTAGGATACAGAATTGTAGGTCAAAAACATAATGCACATAATCAAATTGTCTTCCAAAAAGATTACACAAGTCAGCACTTCTACCAGCATTGGGTAAGAGACTGTTTTATCATTCTGCCAATATTGAGCAGTATTATATGAAAAAATAAAAACCACAAAACTTGGTTGATTTGATACGTAAAAATGATTTTTGAAAAATTTGCATTCTCCGAATATTCTCTCAAATGTATGTTAACCATTTCTATTTCCAAAGCACCTACTTTGAGTAGTGACGGGAAAAGGTGAGTTTTAAGGACAGCTTTGAAATCTTGGTTGGGGAGTCCTTTTGATTCTTGGTTAAAAGAAGGAGTCAAGAAGGGACTGACATAATGGAAGGGAAATGACATAATGGAAGTGATGTTTAGGGAAGTTTAGTCTAGAAGGAGAATGCAGGATGGATTGGAATGAGGAAAGACTGGCATCTGGAAGTCTGGTTCACCAGCTGTAATTCATTCAGGGAATGATGAGGCCCCAACGTGGATGTTGGGAAATGAAGTGGAGAGGAAGAAATGGAAATAGACACTTGGTAGAAACAACCTGCAGGGACAGATTCTTTATTGGATACAGGAATAAAAAGAGGTGAATCCAAGATGTTTTGAATGTTTTTAAGCCCAGATAATAGGAAAAAATGAGAGCTCTTCACTATAGCTCTGGCTAAGTCATTGATATTCTTTGGAGCTGTTTTCCTCATCTGTAAAATGAGAACAATACCTGCTCTGCCTATTTCATGGCATTATTATGAGGATCATTTGAAATAGTTTAAGTGAAAAATTTGAAGCTTTGAAAAGTGTAGGGTATTGTGTAAGTGGCAATAATAGAAAATAAAAATATGGCTTGAGAATAAATGATGGGGGTCATTGGGCATTTATGATATAGCAGCTATCTTGCTACCTACCATCATCTCCTTTGCAGGAGATCTGAAACAATAGTCCCTTTTCTCTCGCTCAAATCCAAATTTAAAGCTAACAACATGAAAATAAAGTCAAAGGATTTGGATTTTACCCAAGTAGATTTGTAATTATGGAAGGTGATAAGGCAGTAATGGGATGCTAATGAGCTAACATTGTGTCTGGCACAGATTCCTCTTTGCATCACATTGAGGAGAGGAGCTAGGGTGGGAGGATGTTCAGAATCAAGAGCAAAGCTTTTCCTTCTGATTTGCCTTCACATTATGCTCTTAACTAATGGCACAAAAACACTGATGTGTCACCATCATATGGGCCACCTAGAACTCTACYTCGTCAGGCCCTTCCTCACTCTCTACTCTTTTTAGTTCTCTTTCACACCAATGAACAATAACTATTCTTATTATCTTCTGCCCACACATAATTCACAGTTGTTTCTAATTTCTATATTGCCTTAACCTATTGATCCTTGCTTTGAATGAAATAATCCTTATGATAGAGGCTCTGTTCCATTGAAGAGTGAAATTTTTTAACAAGGATTCTATTTATGACTTAATTTTAATTCTTGTGTAGTAATTACTTTCAAAACTTAAAAGGTATAGAGATATTACAACCCATGCACCGATCATTAAGACTATCAGATGTCAACATTTTCCATATTTTATTTAGACCCCTTACTTCCCTCACATAAAATAAAATTTATACTTTTTTTTTTTTGGTGGTGCTGGGGATTGAACCTAGGGCCTTGTACATGCTAGGCAAATACTCTACTAACTGAGCTATATCCCCAGCCCAAATTTATACTTTTATCTTTTCCTTTACCTTCTTTCCAGAAGGTATCATTGTATTGAAATTGGTACATATCATTCTCATGCATGTTTTTATACTTTTCATGAATAGTATTTATGTAYAATATTTTGTGTTTAAAAATTCTAAATGGATGCATACAGTATGCATCCTTTTTCAACTTGTGTTTTTTCTATTCATCAGTGTTTTAATTTTTATCCTTGTTGATACATGTAGATAGAGTTCATTTTTAAAAATTAATATGTAATATTCCATTGTATAAAAAGGCCACAGGTTTTTAAAATCCACTCCTTTCCTGTGGGATAGTTGTAGATTGTATTTTATTTTTTTACAAAGAAGGCTGCAATGAACATCTCACACAGTATTGTGTACCTTGTGCTGGTTCATAGGGCATATCCATTTTCAGTTATTACCAATTGTCTTTCAAAATGAATCAGTTTATATCTGAACCACCAATAAGCAAGAGCTTGCCATTCCCCGTATACTTATCAATACTTGGTATTATACTTTTTAAGTAATGGCAAAATGATGAGTGAGAAATTCTTATATGTTTGGATACTAATTCTCTGTGGGTTAAACATKTGGCTGGTCTTCTCCAATCCTATAAGCAGTGTTTTTAAGTTCTTTTATGGTGAATTTTTATCTTTAAAGTTTATAAAATTTTAGCGTAATCAAGTTGGATATTTTCTATTGTAATTTGTGATTTTTATTATTTGCTTTAAAAATCTTTTCTTATTGCTAGTCGTGTTGGAGCATGCCTGGAATATCAGTGACTTGGGAGGCTAAGGCAGAAGGATCACAAGTGAAAGGCCAGTGTTAGCAATTTAGAGAGACTGTAATCAACTTCGTGAAAAAGGGTAGGGGTTGGAATATGGCTCAGTGGTTAAGTGCTCCTAGGTTCAATTCCGGATACCAGAAAAACCCAAACAAAAACTTTTTCTATTACGCTGTCATAAAGCATTCCCTTTTTATACTTTTTTTTTCATAAAATCTATCTAAAAGATTAGATTTATTTAGAGTTTTATTTCTCCTTATTTGGTTTTAAAACTTATCTGGATTTTTCTTCTCGGGAGGGGGTGTGTTTATGGTGTAAGGTAAAGATCTAA